GAGACCAGTATGCATCCTTTACAGGCTTTGCATACGTTTTCTGCGTCTTTGTCGCATTTGGGCCACCATACCTTGGTTCTTAATCTGCCCTTCATCGCAACATCCCCGGGTGGCCTTCACGTGCAGCTTCCAGAACGCAACGGCGCAATTTAGTTGGGATTACAATTTTCGTCCCCCTGAGTAGAATATCGCCATAAAAGCATAATTCATTTTCGAAAAGTTTATAGGCTTTAACCGTGTCATCCCAGTTTCCACTGTACAGGCCTTCTCTAACCTTCTGTATCCCTGCATCTGCAAGGGAACTCTCGGTGATTTCTCGCAATGGGATTGCTACTAGTCGTGCAAATTCGGTGACAGCTTGAACATGGTCTTTGAATAAAGCTGTCGGGTTTGTTGCTACCTCACAGAGTCTGGATAGTGGATCAGCTATGTTGATCTTCCCCGGGCTATATTTCACACTAAAATTGTAGGATTGCAGCCTTAACACCCACCTTTCAATACGAGCGCATGGTTTTGCTTTCGGACCAAAAATGACCTCCAAGGGCTTATGATCCGTTACTAGATCGAATACCTTGCCATATAGAAACATGTTGAAATGTTCGACTGCCCAAACTAGGGCTAAGGCCTCTTTTTCTGTTTGGCAGTAACGACGCTCACAGCTGCTGAGGGTTTTATTGCCAAATGCGGTTATTCTTGGCCCATCCTTGTTAATTTGTACTAACACTACACCCAGGCCTACTGGGCTCGCATCTGCTATCACCACAGTCTTGTCATGAGGATTATTGTAGTAACCTAAATTGGGTACTTTCATGAGTGCTGCCTTGAGATCATCAAATGCTTTCTTTTGGGCATCTCCCCAGTCACCTTGAACGACTGTGTTACTTCCCGTCCTTTTCCGCAAGAGTTGCTTGAGGGGTTCCGTCACCGTAGCTAAATGCGGAATCCATTTTCCCACATAATTCACTAAGCCCATAAAACTCTGCAGTTCAGCGACATTCGTCGGGGCTCTGAAAGTCTTTATAGCCAAGATGTACTTGTCTAGTGGTTTAACTCCCTGTTCTGACAGTTCATGTCCTAGGAACTGGACTTTCTTCATTCTAAAAATGCATTTATCTTCCATCAACATCACATTGTTTTCCTTTAACACTGCCATGACTTTTTTAAGCCTCAAGTCGTGTTCTTCTGCATCTTTCTGAACGTCAAGATGTCATCTATGAAGTTGATGACTCCTTCGCAACCTAAAAGGATTCGTACCAGTGTTTTTTGAAAAATTTCTGGCGCACACGAGATACCAAACATCATTCTTTTGTATTGATACAATCCCTTGCTGGTAATTGACTGGGAAAGAATGCCATATGGCATTAATGTCCGCCTTATGTACCATCACTTGTTTTGTGTACATTAAAGTTTAAATAAATAAATAAATAAACGTAGTGATATGCCTTGAGTCTGGGTGAAGTTCGATATGATGAAACGCATCTCGTATGTCTAGCTTACTAAAGATTTTGGCTTCTCGGACTTTTGGCAGCAGTTCTTCCATAGTCGGCAGTGGATGGTTTTCACGTTGTATAGCTGCATTTGCTCGGCGCATGTCGACACATAATCGGATGTCTCCTCCCTCTTTTAGTATTGGGACGATAGGCGAGATTCAGTTAGAAGGACCTTTCACGGCTTCTATAATGGCCTTATTCAATAATTCTTTCAGTTTCCTCTCCACTTTTTCTTCAAGTGGAATGGGAATCCTCCGATATGGCTGGGCAACGGGCTTTACTGAATCATCAATCGGAATGGTCACTAAAACATCTTTAAATTTTGGAAATGCCTCAGTTTCAACCTGATTAATATCCGTATTGATCCGAAGTACTCCCAGTGAGGTTGCCGTCACACGTCCAAGTAGATCACGTGTACCGTTTTCAATCACATAGAATGTTGTTATGTCTTGTGATGTTCCAGCAAGTTTTATCGTAGCTTTGAATGAACCTAACAGCTTCAGCGGTGTTGCACTTCCATAAGCTACAAACGTTTTGTCAGGATTCGGATCTTGATTTGTAACTTGAGCGTTATCTTTCTTCATTCTTTTCCAGGTTTGGTCCGTTATAAGATTGTGCTTGCAACCCGAGTCTATCAACATCTCTACGTTGCTACCGCCTATGTTACATGTGACCTTGGCGTCGTTTTCGATATTGAAAATGTAGTCGACTTTTTTTTCATCCGTGCTTATGTTTGCAGTTTCTTCGGCATTATTCGCTGTTCTGTTTTTTCCTTTATTCTCTGATTGTTCGATGATTCTTCTCCTTTAAATTTCCTCTTCTGGGTTTGTTTTGTTCGACATTGGTCTCTAAAGTGTCCTAAGATGCCACATTTGAGGCAAGCCTTTCCTTTTGCAGGGCAGTTGTTGTCACGGGCGAAATGTCTAGTACTTCCACATCTACTACATTCCAATCTTTTTTTCCTTCCATGTCTCAGTATCTATATGTTGATTGATTGACTTTCCGCAGGTTTCGTACCAAAGTTTTCTAGCTGACGATCTATGGCTTCTAGTGTTTTTTTGGTGTCGGGTTGGAAAATCCTCATGAAGACCCACCGCTCTCGGGGAAGGGCGAAGGGTACTGTCAGACTCTTACTATATCCGCAGCCTTTATCCCCAAAAGGCCGGCAATGCACTCGTAACTAGGGTTACTTACTATGTAAATACAGGCATGCCTGCGTAACTCCTTTGGTGTTGCAGGTGTCAATGAGCGGCGCCGATTACTTACCATCAGGTAGGTAATCCGTCAGGTCGTTTGACGATTTATCACATAAAACAAAATACTTAAGTATAGCAACACTGGCAAAATGTTACCTAATATAAATGCGTGTTTTGTTTTCTTTTCAATATTAGATATTATTTAATTCAAGTGGAGTTACGGTACCTACTTAAATTTAAAAAATGTTTGAATGTTTTTTTTGTACTTTTACTGAAATTAGAAGGAAAAGTTTTAGTTAAATTAGTATTTATTATGAAATTATTTAGAGGTAACTTTTTTTTTATTAGGTAGGTAACGTTTGCGTAGGATAAGGCAATTTTTTCTGGCAAACACTTTTGGCAGGAATTGTAAAATTCGGACAAATTAAGCACGCTCTCTTTCAGTAAAATAAAATTGCAATTTAAAGCGACTCAAGTTTTTTTTACTAATCCTTTTAATAGGTTAGGCCCTTATCTATTTCGTTAAACCTAAGTAAGTACCTACTTAAATACCTACGTTTTAACGAAAATGTCTTAGTCAGAACACATGAATATATGTTTGACTAGCACAGATTATCAAACAAACCTTTGTTTTGTTATCTGTGTTGACGAGAAAAGTAATTTACCAATACGGTATTTTCTAAGTACCTAGTGAAATTCAATAAGTGCTTACTTTTATCCAAATGTCAAAAACGATACTTACTTTTCTATGAAAAACTGAGTAATGACGTCATAGTATTTTAGCCAATGATATTATAAGTAAAAAGGTGTAAGTAGTTAGGTTACAAGCGCTCAGCAAGTGATACATTAAAATGTGGCTAACTAACCACACTTTTTCATATTTGTCTCTTTTTCACTCGCGATTAGTGCATCATGCCATTCCACTTTAATGTGTAGGTATCATACGATTTATTCATGTCATTGTGTACATAAGTGGGCCGTTTTTGAAAATCGAATGTTGTTTATATAACCTATGTATAGGTACTTAGTACCATTTGACTTATAATATCATTGATTTTAGAGTAAATAGGTACTTATTTCTTAAACATTAGCTAAATAATAGGTAAGTACTTATCTAAAATTAAGTGGATCGATCGATCGATGAATAAAAGTAGGTACATAAAGATATTTTTTAATATTTTATCGTATTGAAACGTCGAATAAATTTATTTTTGACCTAGGAAACCAAATTCTGTTTATAAACAGAATATACGTAATACTACGTAATATTAATGTATAATCACGTAATATTTTTTTATAATGTTTGAGTTGCACGAAATTGCTTACGGTTGTTGTGATGGTAACCCTGGTTTGGAGCACAAACCAAAATAAACTGTAATAGTTGTACATAAAGTCTATATTTATAATTTATATAGAATTAGGAGAGAAAAATATTGTTATCTCTTTCTATGTAGCGGGGAGACCAGTAAATGACAACTAAGAACTGAATGTTTATTTCTCAGCTTTTGTAATATTACAGAATTTTATAACACCTTTTCATTTTTTGTGTACTTTATTTTGATATTTGCGTGTTGTATGAAATGAAATTGTAGTATTGAATCAAATATTTGGTAATGTTTTTAAATTGTAAATAAAAATTCTAATTAGGTACCGGACATAACAGTCAGTGTGGATCTTGATCTATGAACAGTGATATCAATAGGAAACTCAGTAAGTAATATAGGTAATATGTCAAGTGATGAGAATGTAAAAAAATAATAAAAATAAGTACAAGTGTTGCCTTAGATACCGGCTGTAATTGTGCACCTACATAATTATTAACTGTTAGCAATTCAAAATATTATGTAGCTTTATTAAGTATATATTTTTTGTTTATACTTAGCTTATCGATTAAGTGGATCGGTTAGGTAATAATTTCGGTCGGTCATTAACTGACACATCGATACATTCTAGTCTAGTCAAGTATTTATAAAAAAAATGTAACTTACATTTTTTTTGAAATAGGTACTATTTTAGAAATGGTGTATCAGCGGATAATATTGTCAAAGTTTTAAAAAAATATAAAAATGTTAAATGTTATTGTCGCAGCAGCAAAGGTTGAATTTCATAATACTTCTTTTTAAACACAGTCGGCGAAAGTATATTTTGTACTGTTTGGCTACTACACCCAAAATTCTTCGTATCGTCAGTTATAAGGACCTCAACCTAAATTACACACAATATTGCAATAATTTTTAATATAATGTGTGTGCAAATATAAACACGATTTATACCATGAAAATAAACTGATATTATTACTACTTTTTAATAGAAAATGGTAAAAATAAGTATCGTGCAATCGATCGTGCAAACGAGGCGACTGTGACGACACAGCATACGTCGCGTTTGCGTCATCATATCGTGAACAGCGCTCAAACGGGGAGGACGTGGGATGATTGAGTGTGGAGAGCATCATTAGAAACATTTTTTTATTTTTTTTCAAATGTTTCTAATATCGGAATTATAAAGTACAAAGCTTAGGATAGGTAAATATTATTGTCCTAATTAATTTTTTACCATGTGTTCATTATGTCTTCATTATACTAATTTATTTTTTCCTCTTCAGGTTCCACTCGGGATCGCCGCCATCATGGCGTCGGACGAACAATTTTCACTATGCTGGAACAATTTCCACGCAAATATGTCAGCAGGCTTTCACGGCCTGCTGTCGCGTGGAGATCTCGTAGATGTTACATTGGCTGCCGAAGGCAGGTTACTGCAGGCACACAAATTAGTTTTATCAGTATGTTCTCCTTATTTTCAAGAGATGTTCAAAATGAACCCAACTCAACATCCCATAGGTAAGAATATTTTTTTCGAATTGTCCCTTTACCTTGTTTGAATTGTTTTCAGGATAATTTTACTAATTGCTTTTCTTTTGTTTCAGTATTTTTAAAAGATGTTAGTCATTCAGCGTTAAGAGACTTATTACAGTTTATGTACCAAGGTGAAGTTAATGTTAAGCAAGAAGAATTAGCCTCTTTTATTAGTACCGCGGAACAGCTTCAGGTTAAAGGTCTGACCGGAAATCAGAATGAAGAAAGTTCCACGCCATCCAAACCAAAGCCGACCTCCAGGCCAGGCCCGAGGTCGTCACAACAAAGGCAATCTGTTATGACTAAGTTAGAGACTGATTTAGATTCTAAGCCCTCCACCACTCCAGTAGCGGTTAAGCGACCAAATAGGCCATCAATAGCATCAAATAATTCGTCATCTTCACAAAGTGGACCTGCGAAAAGAAAATGCGTGGACCCATTAGAAGCCGGACCATCTGGATCTGCGAAAGAGGAATTTGTGACGATACCGGATGAAGATGAAAATAACGCTGTGGCACCGAAAATGGAACCTGAATTTGTTAACGAAAGCATGTGGGACGACGATGACGATGGCGCGAACAATGAGGAAACAAACTTTGGCGAAGACGACTCTAATATGGAAATGACTGGTAAATATGGTTTATCGTTATACTGAAAATGACTGGGGGGGTCATCGTTGGATCTTTATCAACTTGATTAATTTGTTACAGCTTTTGATGGCTCTACGACAGGCGATGGCAACATAACTGGAGGTGGTGAAGGTGGAGCTGTAGGTGATGCACAAGGTAGGTTTGCTACTTCCTTTTGAAAAGACGGTTAGTTCAAACTTTCTGTCTTCAACTAACCGTCTTCATTCTGACTTATGTGATGCACTGATTTCTGACAAAAGTTTAAATACTTAAGAGGATGGTCACATAAGTCCTTAGTTGTAGAAATGAAATTTGTAAGTTTAGTTTAAGTAGATTAGAATAGTATATAGCTAAAACTTGAGATGTTGCAGGTAATGTTCAAGGTATAGTAAGGCTTCAACTTTCGAAGCCTGAGGTATATAACGGTGGTAAAGGTATCAAAGGTAATCTATAGGTAAGGTTATCTGTAAAGGTAAATGGTATCCTGTTATGTATGGGAGGTAATGTAAACCCTATGGTAAGGTTAATTCTACTAGTATGGTACAAAGTTAAGGTACACTGGTTTTAGTTTCTGGTAATGTAAAGGTACTCTATTGCATTGTGATAACTCACAATGAAGAAGCCCCATTTCTTATCGGTGGTAATGGTTGGTAAAGGTAAAAGGTAGATCCGGAGAGCCTGTTGTAAGGTATGATTCGTGTATAGGTATTGCTGCGTCATAGTATGCGTCGCAGTGACATCTTACGCACGAAGTGGTAGATAGTTGTAAATAGGTAGTAGGGAAATTCAACATATACTGATGCCTTTCGTGTATCTATTCGCCCTGTTTTGCGTTGCTACGTGGTAAAACTGGGAGACTGGTAGCTTAGTATGTGTTCAAAGGTAACAGCTAAACGGGGTGTCCGTTACCCAGGCCAGATGTTGTCGACAATGGTCATTTGAATCTTATAGATAATTAGTTGTGCGGCTTCTGTAATTGTTGCGCACATTTTTAAATTTGTTGCGCTTATAGTTTTTTAATTATTTCACAAAAACATTTCCTGCTGGCGTAACGTTACCACAGCCAGACCTTTCTTTCTAATGGGAATATTTAAATAAATGTTAGCTATAAAATTAGTTGTCTAGATAAAGTAAATGTTGTGCCTTATTTTGTATTTGTTCTTTCTTCGGTTGCGAAGTTATTCGAGATTTTGCTGCGGTAACGTTTTTGGTTTTGCTAGATCTTTGAAATGGTGAAGCGGATTCTTATCATATTTTGTACATGACTTCCGAGGACTTAGTTGAAATTTGTTGTGCAATAACAAAACCAAAATAATGCATATTTTAAAGGTTATTGCATTAAATAGAAAAACACTTCAATTGGCCCCAGCACTCTCAATAAGAAGTCTAAAGACTTACTTTAAACTTAATCTTGAAGCTTGTAACTGCCTTCAAATGTATGTGAAGTTTCATTAGTATCCCGTAAGTATTTAACAAGTTATGATGATATTCAGTTCTTCACGAGCACGATCTTAATGCACGCGGTGTTATTTGGCCACTGGATTGGATATATGAACTGAATGTTATGTCAATGATTAGTTGTTTAGATCGGTTGTATCTCAGTAAAATTTCAGCTCAATACATTGGATAATTAATGAGATAATACTATTAAAGTCATTAGGAAGTGAATGACAGTGGTAAGCCGACGAAGTTTAGGTGGTTACGAAAAAGCGAAAACGCAGAACATTGTACTATCTTTTGAAATGTTTAGTATAATACACCTTGCAATTTCGGTACAGACGCGTACACTGTTAAATACCTATATATAATAATATAAAAGAAAACATTATCTTCCAGTTCCACAAAATTATCAAAAATCCCCGCTAGAGCATGCCGTTCGGTAGGACGCGGGAGGAGTGGGGTGAAGGGGTAATACATTGTTTGCATAACGCACTCAGTCTTGCCAGAAGGTTACTTTTGTAATCTTTTAGATGATTTTTGAACTGCATCGGTTACTTTTAGGTAACTCGAATAAAAAGGTTACTTTTAGTTGTTTTTTCGGAATATGGAGAATTAACTTTTAATTAAATATTATTATATTATAATGGAACAATCGTTTAGGTCAATACAACTAATATTCTATTCTATCCCCCCCCCCCCAAGCGAACACAGGCGTTCAAACATCTATTGACTTAATTGTGTCTGTTTTTACGGTAGTCTAAAAGAATACCTAGTGCGTCGTCTACTTAAAACTAAAAACGTAAACTTTTGGACATGTCTGTACTAAATTTATAACAATATCCTACATATTTTAGAAGGTACCATAATGTTCTGCGTTTTCGCTTTTTCGTAACCACCTAAACTTCGTCGGCTTACCACTGTCATTCACTTCCTAATGACTTTAATAGTATTATCTCATTAATTATCCAATGTATTGAGCTGAAATTTTACTGAGATACAACCGATCTAAACAACTAATCATTGACATAACATTCAGTTCATATATCCAATCCAGTGGCCAAATAACACCGCGTGCATTAAGATCGTGCTCGTGAAGAACTGAATATCATCATAACTTGTTAAATACTTACGGGATACTAATGAAACTTCACATACATTTGAAGGCAGTTACAAGCTTCAAGATTAAGTTTAAAGTAAGTCTTTAGACTTCTTATTGAGAGTGCTGGGGCCAATTGAAGTGTTTTTCTATTTAATGCAATAACCTTTAAAATATGCATTATTTTGGTTTTGTTATTGCACAACAAATTTCAACTAAGTCCTCGGAAGTCATGTACAAAATATGATAAGAATCCGCTTCACCATTTCAAAGATCTAGCAAAACCAAAAACGTTACCGCAGCAAAATCTCGAATAACTTCGCAACCGAAGAAAGAACAAATACAAAATAAGGCACAACATTTACTTTATCTAGACAACTAATTTTATAGCTAACATTTATTTAAATATTCCCATTAGAAAGAAAAAGGTCTGGCTGTGGTAACGTTACGCCAGCAGGAAATGTTTTTGTGAAATAATTAAAAAACTATAAGCGCAACAAATTTAAAAATGTGCGCAACAATTACAGAAGCCGCACAACTAATTATCTATAAGATTCAAATGACCATTGTCGACAACATCTGGCCTGGGTAACGGACACCTAAACGGGCGAATAGATAGGCGATCATGATCTAGGTGCCTATTCATTTACCCCCGTGTAACGGTAACTACCATAAAACTGGGTGAATAGAAGTTGAGGGGTATAAATAGATAGTTACACGAAAGGGGGTGTCCGTTACCCAGGCCAGATGTTGTCGACAATGGTCATTTGAATCTTATAGATAATTAGTTGTGCGGCTTCTGTAATTGTTGCGCACATTTTTAAATTTGTTGCGCTTATAGTTTTTTAATTATTTCCCAAAAACATTTCCTGCTGGCGTAACGTTACCACAGCCAGACCTTTTTATTTCTAATGGGAATATTTAAATAAATATTAGCTATAAAATTAGTTGTCTAGATAAAGTAAATGTTGTGCCTTATTTTGTATTTGTTCTTTCTTCGGTTGCGAAGTTATTCGAGATTTTGCTGCGGTAACGTTTTTGGTTTTGCTAGATCTTTGAAATGGTTAAGCGGATTCTTATCATATTTTGTACACGACTTCCGAGGACTTAGTTTAAATTTGTTGTGCAATAACAAAACCAAAATAATGCATATTTTAAAGGTTTTTTCATTAAATAGAAAAACACTTCAATTGGCCCCAGCACTCTCAATAAGAAGTCTAAAGACTTACTTTAAACGTAATTTTACAGCTTGTAACTGCCTTCAAATGTATGTGAAGTTTCATTAGTATCCCGTAAGTATTTAACAAGTTATGATGATATTCAGTTCTTCACGAGCACGGCCTTAATGCACGCGGTGTTATTTGGCCACTGGATTGGATATATGAACTGAATGTTATGTCAATAATTAGTTGTTTAGATCAGTTGTATATCAGTAAAATTTCAGCTCAATACATTGGATACTTAATGAGATAATACTATGAAAGTCATTAGGAAGTGAATGACGGTGGTAAGCCGACCAAGTTTAGGTGGTTACGAAAAAGCGAAAAACGCAGAACATTATGGTACCTTCTAAAATATGTAGGATAGTGTTATAAATTTAGTACAGACATGTACAAAAGTTTAAAAAAAAACTACATGATTATTCAAGATTTTTTATTGAAAGGTAAAATAATCATTTCAATTGAACTTTTACTTCCTTACTTATAAAAACTTGTGTTGCTTAGCAACCGATTAAACATCACCCGTCCTTGTCATTTCTATTTCAAAATGCAGTTCAAAAATCATCTAAAAGGTTACAAAAGTAACCTTCTGGCAAGACTGAGTGCGTTATGCAAACAATGTATTACCCCTTCACCCCACTCCTCCTGCGTCCTACCGAACGGCATGCTCTAGCGGTGATTTTTGATAATTTTGTGGAACTGGAAGATAATGTTTTCTTTTATATTATTATTATATAGCTATTAAACAGTGTACGCGTCTGTACCAAAAATTGTAAGGTGTATTATACTAAACATTTTAAAGATAGTACAATGTTCTGCGTTTTCGCTTTTCGTAACCACCTAAACTTGGTCGGCTTACCACGGTCATTCACTTCCTAATGACTTTCATAGTATTATCTCATTAATTATCCAATGTATTGAGCTGAAATTTTACTGATATACAACTGATCTAAACAACTAATTATTGACATAACATTCAGTTCATATATCCAATCCAGTGGCCAAATAACACCGCGTGCATTAAGGCCGTGCTCGTGAAGAACTGAATATCATCATAACTTGTTAAATACTTACGGGATACTAATGAAACTTCACATACATTTGAAGGCAGTTAAAAGCTTTAAAATTACGTTTAAAGTAAGTCTTTAGACTTCTTATTGAGAGTGCTGGGCCAATTGAAGTGTTTTTCTATTTAATGAAAAAAACCTTTAAAATATGCATTATTTTGGTTTTGTTATTGCACAACAAATTTAAACTAAGTCCTCGGAAGTCGTGTACAAAATATGATAAGAATCCGCTTAACCATTTCAAAGATCTAGCAAAACCAAAAACGTTACCGCAGCAAAATCTCGAATAACTTCGCAACCGAAGAAAGAACAAATACAAAATAAGGCACAACA